GAATAATTTTGTTTTCATTTAATTTAATATTATCTTGCTATGTTGCCCAGGGTGGACTCAAAAAGAGCCCTTTTTAAATGTTGAACATTTCATGACCTCCAAATAATAGTAGCTCTACATTTAGTCTCAGTTGATAGAGAAAATTCATAATAACATAAGCTTCTATAGACCTAAAAATTATATTTTAATATAAATTTATATTTATAAATTACATTATCTACATACGTGTGAAAATTCTAGTACATTAAGTGGAAACTTTTTTTTATTTGGTCTACAGATAATTCATGGTGCTTCTGTGAATTCATAGATCCTTTACAGTTGTTTAGTAGCCCCGCAAGGATAAAAGAATGGGAACTACTGAGTTCTTTTGGACCAGTTCCTGTGCTCCCAGCCTTTCTCTCCAGTTTTTACATATGAGAAAATTGAGGTCCAAAAAAGACTAACTAACTTGTTTGAGATCGCACATTTAGTTAGTAGCAAAAAAAAACTTACTGTATTTTCTGTTTTAAAAATGTAAAAGAATAAACACTTCTCTCTTAAGGACTAGCTTATCATAGAAGAATAATTGAATTACTGAGGGGATTCTTATGCAGCAGGCATTTGAAACACTGAAAAGATATGCTAAAAAGTCTGTTCATAAAAATATACTTACTTGTATATGCTGTGACAAATTGATTGTGGGATAGTTTTAATAATATATTTTCCTGGCTTTATTCTAGAAGAATAAACTTGAATAAGATTATTTTTCAGGCCGGGCGCAGTGGTGCACACCTGTTAATCCTAGCACTCTGGGAGGCCAAGGCAGGAGGATCACTTGAGGTCAGGAATTTGAGACCAGCCTAAGCAAGAGTGAGACCCTGTCTCTACTAAAAATAGAAAAAGTTAACCAGGTGTGGTGGTGCACACCTGTAGTCCCAGCTACTTGGGAGGCTGAGGCATGAGGATCCCTTGAGCCCAGGAGTTTGAGGTTGCTGTGAGCTAGGCTGACACCACTGCTCTCTAGCCTGGGCGACAGAGCGAGATTCTGTTTCAAAAAAAATAAATAAATACAAAGTATTTGTTATAATGCTGACTACATGTGCTATGCTACACAAAGATAAATGAAGCTTGGGGTCTGAGAGAGATAGGCTTGTAAAATCATATGCTACTCCTGAGTTAAGTGCTTTAAAAGAGATATGAACAAAGTCCCTTCAATGCAGAAAAGAGTCCTGTCCGACACAGAAGAGAAAACAAAAGTTGCTGACTGGGGCAAGATTAGTCTGGACATTGGCCCCAGTTTTCTCCAGTTTGGTATTTTTCAGTTCTTCCTTTAATGTAACAGGAGAATAGATTTTGTGATCAATTTGAAAAGGAATTGAAGTAATTTTGTTTTCTCAGTAAGCTGGTTTATTTTTTCACATTTCCTCCTCTAAATGGCTTAGCACAGTTTCCAGGAAATTCATTCATTCAGCAGGGAAAACCCACCGAATTTGCAGGTAAAATGTGCTTGTTTTTACCTCTAGTTCTTCCATGAAAGGGATATTTAACAGAGAAAAAGACTTTATAAAAAGTTCAAGTCTTTAAAGCTAAGAAAATTATAAAATATTTAATATGTGAATTGGTGTTCTGCTTTGACATAAATGTGGCTTACAGAGTATTAATAAAATCATAATCAATATTTCCTTTTTCTTTGTAATACTGGTTTATTCTGTCTAAATCAATAAAGCATTTGAGCTGTAAAATGTTTTTAAACAAGAGGGTAAATCACATTAGAAAAAAAAATAGGTATGGGCAATTAACATTACTCCCAATTTTCTTTCTAATGTTGTGAGTGTACTTAAATATATGTACTTGAACTTATCCTTTGTGATTGCACATGTTCTATCTTTTTCATTTTGTATGACTAGTAAACCAGTGGTTTTTGTGAAGATAGGTTCACGACAGAATTGGCACAAGAATTTTTCCAAACTCAAGGTTTTCACACTGCTACCTCATTCTCTGAGATAGTACTGAAAACCACTGTTGTCTATAAAATCATAAAAGGGGAGGAAGAAGAAAGAAAATGAGATAGTGTGTTCAAAAATATTGGAACTCCAAAAACATTTTTGTGTTTTTATTGTATAGTCACAAAAAGAAGGAAAGGTATTTGAATCTCACAAGGAAAGGGCCTATATAGTTTGAAAAAGATTACTGAGGTTTTGTTTTTTTTTTTTTTGAGAGTCTCACTCTGTTGCCAGGGTAGAGTGCCTTGGTGTCAGCCTGGATCACAGCAACCTCACACTCCTGGGCTCAAGCGATCCTCCAGCCTCAGCCTCCAGAGTATCTGGGACTATAGGTGTGCACCATTGCGCCTAATTTTTTCTATTTTTAGTAGAAACAGGGTCTCGTTCTTGCTCAGGCTCGAACTCCTGGCCTCAAGCCATCTTCCTGCCTCGGCCTCCCAGAGTGTTAGGATTACAGGCCTGAGCCACCGTGCCTGGCCTGCCACTTATTTTTTAATTACTCTAGTGGCCATTTGATAATACTGGAAGATATTTATGAAAAAAAATTTAAACCCAGGGGCCTAACTTCTATTTAGTACTTCCCTTCAAGAATGTCCTGACTTAACACCCTGTCTAAAAGTCTATACTATAAA